CTAACTATGACTATATTTCTGTCATTACCAGTGAGGTTTATCCTACATTTCTATGTGTTTATGATGCCAATTAGCATTCTTTCACTTGTACTCAAGTATTTAGCATTTCTTATAAGACAGGTCTGGTAATAATGAACTCCCTTAACTTTTGTTTGTTTGGGAAAGTCTACCCTTCCTTCAATTCTGAAGGACAGTTTCCCTGGCTATAGAATTCTTGGTTGAATTATTTTCTTTGAATATTTTGAGTATGTCACCCCATTCTCTCCTGGCCCAAAATGTTTCTGTTGAGAAATTTGCCAGTATTCCTATGGGGGTGCCCTTGAATGGAAGCTCACTCTTCTCTTACTGATCTTAAAATTCTTTGTCTTTGACTTCTGATGGTTTTTTGTTTGTTTTTGTTTTTTAGATTATTTATTTATATTTATTTATCTGATAGAGAGCATGCGCAAGTGTGTGTGCACAAGTAGAGGGAGAGGGAGGCAGAGGCAGAGGGAGAAGCAGGCCTCCCGCTGAGCAGGGAGCCCGATTCGGGGCTTGATCCCAGGACCCTGGAATCATGACCTGAGCTGGAGGCAGATGCTTAACCGACTGAGCCATCCAAGCATCCTGACTTCTGATGTTTTAATTGTAATGTGTCTCAGTGTATCCCTGTTCAGGTTCAACATATTTGGGGTACTTTGGGCCTCATGGATCTGGATGTCCATTTCTTTTCCCAGATTCAGGACATCTTCAGTCATTATTTTAAAAATACTTTCTGTTCCTTTCTCTTTCTTTTCTTCTGGAATTCCCATAATGTGACTGTTGTTTCTTTACATTGTGTCCCATAATTCCTGTAGGCTTTCTTCATCACTGTTTTTCATTCTTTTTTTCTTTTTGTTATTCTGACTGGTTAATTTTTTTTTTTTTAAGATTTTATTTATTTATTTGTCAGAGAGAGAGAGAGCACAAGCAGGGGCAGCTGCAGGCAGAGGGACAAGCAGGCTCCCCGCTGAGCAAGGACCCCGATGTGGGGCTCCATCCAAGGACCCTGAGATCATGACCTCAGCTGAAGGCAGATGCTTAACCGACTGAGCCACCCACGTGTCCCTGACTGGTTAATTTCTAATATCTATCGTCCAGGTCCCTGATTCTTTTGTATGGTTGAGTTCTGCTTTTGAAACTGTTGAATTCTTCAGTTCAGTTATTGTATTTTTCCACTCTAGGATTTCTGGATTTTTGTTTTGTTTTTTGTGCCTGCTGTTTTCTTGTGGAACTTCTTGTTTTGCTCATCATTGTTTAATTGTCTGTGTGTTCTTATAGCTCATTAAATTTCATTAAGAGGATTATTCTGAATTCTTTGTCTCACAGTTCATATATTTCTATTTCTTTAGGGTCAATTATATAGAGCTTTGTTAGTTTCCTTTGGTGGTATCATATTTACCTGATTTTTCATGATTCTTGATTCCTTACATTGGTATCGGCACATTTGAATGATTGGGCTTTTCTGCCAGAATTTATAGGTTTTCTTTGGCAGAGACCATTTTTCACTAATCAGTTCAGTTTAGGTGTCAGGGAATGTCTGCTGGTACTGTCCTTGAGCAGGCGGGGCCTACTATTGTGGTCTGTTTTGGGGCAAGGCAACTGTTTGAACTCTGAGGACAGAGACTGGGAAGGGTGTGCTACTGGTTGAGAGCAGTTGGATGGGATTGCTGGTTTGGTTCCCTACTCAAGTGAGGCTGTAGGATGGGTTCTACAGTACCTGGATTCTCCGGTCAGGTATACTAGATTGCTGGGACTGGGTACTGTATTCACTTGTAGATAGGGCTATTAATTAGCTTTCCTGCCCTGGCGGGACAGCATGATGGGACCCAGGGCTCATTGTTTGGGGACCCAAATCAGGTCCAACTGTTCACCAAATTCCCTCGTCCAGCAAGGCCACTGGTTTTACTCTGCACACTGGAGAAGCCATGGGCTGTGTGTTCTGTTCTAGTGTCATTGTACACAGGGCTGTTGAATGGCCTATGGAGCTTCTTGTGTTCTCTAGTTAGGGTCCCTGGCTAGACAGGCTGAGAGCTATATTCAGCAATGAGCAGGGCGAGTTAGATTCCCTTCCTGGCTGCGGCAGGAGAAATAGCTCTAAAGCCAGTAAAGCTCTTTATTGTGTTAACTCAAGTTGATCTAGATCCCAAGTTCCCTGGCCAAACAGCGCCACTAGTTTTGTTCTTGGCTATCTGCCCATTTCTTGGCTTGAGTACCATTGGACTACACTGCTACCATGAGTTGTTGCCTGCCATTTCTGGTCAAATGGGGCTAGAAGACACTCTCCACAACTGGTCGGTCTGTGTTTTAGCCTCCTTGCCTTGGTGGGAGGGGGAGGGGCCTCACGAGCTACTCTCAATTTCCCAAACAGCCTTAGTGGTTGGGAAGAGCCAAGAGCTACCCTCAGCCCCAGCTAAGAATTAACTCCCTGCTTGGGAATGCTGCATTCCCAGGACTGGCTTTGCTCCGGGGGCAGTCAGCTCTTCTCTCCTGTCTTCCTGCTTGAGTGCTGCTGGTCCACACTGCTTCCAGTTTTTGCCAGTCCTTTTGGTCAGATGGGGTGGGAAGACACTTTGCAGTGTGTGGGGCAATGATTTAGCTTCTGGCTTGGGGGTGGGAAAACTGAATTCTAGGGCTGGCAAAACTCCTCCTTTGAGGGTCCAAATTAGGGAGTTCTGCACCCTGCTGAGTTCCCTGGTCAGAGTGTGCGCACCCCTGACTCCACTCGGCAGGTGAGCAAAACCACCCATATGGATTCCTCCTTGGCCCCAGGAGGTGTGAACTCAGTTTGTCAAGATCCATGTGCTGGTTGTTGTAAGCCCGTCTGCACTTCTCCATCACAGTCAGATTCCCAGTGGTTGAGCCCCACAGATTCCCCTACCGTTCCTGTGGTGCAGGATCAAAGTAGGGGCTCCCACAAGGTGACCCACAAAGCTGGCAAGGTGCTGGTTGTCTCCTTTGGCTCAGGGGACACCTTTCTGTGTTGTGCCGGGCTGGCCTGGAGGGGAGGGACAGTGCAGTCACCGTGTAGCCACTTGTCTTATGCTTCTAATGCAGTCTGTCTGGGTCTCTGAAGTGCAGGAATTGCTTCAGTCCCGTGTTCGAGGATTCTCTCAGTGCTGTCTTGTTCTTGAATAGTTGTCAGTTGTTCTTGTGAGGGGGAGCAAAGTCAAGAACACCTACAATGCCATCTTGGTGGAGTTATGCTTCATGTGAAAAGGAATAGGTGACCATTGATAGTTTTTAGACAGAGGCATGGCATGATAACTTGCTTCTTAGACGATTATTGTAGAGGCAGCATGGAGAAAGGATTGCAGAGGGACAGGAGAGAAGTGATAATGGCCTGAATTAGGGAAGTTGCAATGAAGATTGAAAATAGTGAGCAAAGTTTTCTTTTGGTACTTTTAGAAGAAAAAAATCATAGAAATTGGTCATTGATTGGATGTAAGGGGGTAAGGGAGAGGGATGAGTTAAAGATAGTATCTGAGGTTTTTGCTTGAGTATCACCTCTATAAACTTGCCAGTTCACTGTACTTCTTTGTTATAGCATGGAAATACATTTTAAGCCTTTAATTAAGTCTTTCTTTTATTTCTAAAAATAAGTAAGGATCTTACCTGAACAGTTGTTTAGTATATAAAAAGTTGAGGAAAGCGAGAGGGAGGGGGTGATGTATATCCTAAGAAGCAGGTTGGGACAAGGCTAATTAAATAGGGTATAGAGTGTAAGGCACCGGTAAAGAAACAGACCCTGGCTCGGAATTCATGGAAACTCTGTTTACCATATGATTACTGGGAGGGAATTTTCTCTCTTTACTTAATGTGAATACCCTCTTGGGTGTTTGGCAGTCACTCGAGAAATACCTCTTTAAAGGAGAGTACATTCTTCCCTTTGATTTCAGATTTTTATAACAATTCCGTGAACCAGGATACTACTTTTTCTTTTTTTAAGGAACAATGTACTTTTAAATAAAAAGGATAGATGTGCAATGTACATCGAGTTCTTTATTACCTCCTTTGTTTCTTCATCTATCAAATGTAGTTAACAAAACCTGGATATACAATAATATGTGCATGTGTATGTGTGTAAAGAGGTTGCTGACATGTACTGGCACATGATAGGTACTCAGTAGAGGTTTTTTTTTTTAAACTATCATTAGTAGTTTTAGTATAGTTTTTAAAACTATAATAAAGAAATCTTTCAAATCTTTCTTTTTCTGATTATATGAGTTGTAGGGGGCCATAAAATTTTAAATATATATATTTTCTTAGTTTGAACTAATTTAATGGCTTTATTATCTGTAGAATGAAAGGTGGAAAATTTGTAAGTATCTTATTAGGTAACCCTTTATGTAAAGTAGTAGACTAGTTATAGCTAATATTGGAGGATCAAATGAGAGCTTAATAATTGATGTGTTTTTAAAAAGTTTTTAAAAGTATTTCTTGCCTCTTAGTTTTGCTTTGTTAATCCCTTGCTTTTATAATATGTGTTAGATTAGCAACATTCCCATTAGTACTATAATTTAGGAGGGAAAAATTCACTTTAGGTATGTAAATGATAAATATATGTATAGTGTTCTGGTGGATACTGGGTACCTGCTCCCTGAAATTTCTTTATGTAGATGAATGGCAGCAAAATCAGTCATCCAGTTAACCTCAGTGAAACTTTTTGTTTTTAAGACAGGGGACATTTGCAGTCTTACTGTGTCCTTCCCATTGGATATGTTTAGCACAGACCCAGCAATCTATCAGTGTTTAATGATTTAAGAAATCTTTCAATATATAATTGAGCATCAGAATGAACATAGATCCCTACATTAGAATAGCTCATCCTAAAAGCCTGGTCACTACAGGTAGACAGTAACTGTTCCAGCAACTTAAGAGATGGATAGTGGAGATAAGAGAGGTTAAATAGAACGGCTTTTGTTTCAGTGTCTTTTAATATTTTAGGTGATAATTTGTCTTATGTTCTATTTCACGTGTAGGGAATTCCAAATGAAAGCTGGAGAATAACAAAGATAAATGAACGCTATGAGCTTTGTGATACATATCCTGCCCTCTTGGTTGTGCCAGCAAATATTCCTGATGAAGAATTAAAGAGAGTGGCGTCCTTCAGATCAAGGGGCCGTATCCCGGTAAGTGTGAAGCTTTGGCGAGACTTTGCAAATGCTTTTGTACTCTACGTAATGCTGAGGTTAATGAATGGGAGAATGGATGCAGGATAAAAATAGCTACAGCAACATGTCTATTATGGGGATTTTAGAGAATGAGTTATTTAGTAAAATTAAAACTGGAGGAAAGACTTAGATTTAAGAAGTTTCTGGAGAGTCTGACATGGGTAGGAGAGAACGGCACAGAATTGTGATTCTTAACTCGCAACAAAGTTGGCTCTGTATTGTTCACTATTTCTTTATTATATATTCTTTAATCGTGGTGATAAATGCACCCTTTCACTTAAATCCTAGAGAGAAGAAAACTTTACAAATTTATGATGAATTACTGTGTTTTAGAAAGATTGGCTCAAATAACTTTAGGTACAAAAGTCAGGTTCTGAAGACTTTATAGTTGGACAGTTTGGTGATTTAGTAATAAAACTTTTAAGGGGTTTATTTAACACCCTTTTAATGTACTGTGATTCTAGAGACAACATTTCTGAATAGTCATGACTTACATAAATCAACACCTGATTAAAGGATTAGACCAAATTTTCCATATGCCAGAGTTGGCTTGAAAGAAAGGTGATGATTTTTATAGCAGCCTTGAATAGCTTTCGTGGTTGGGCTTTGGAACCAATCAGAAAGCAGAATTTTATAGAGAAATGTTTTTGAGAAGAATTATAAACAGAGAAATATATAAAGAGTGTGTCACTATTTTTTCGCCCGTTAAGGTTTTATCATGGATTCATCCTGAAAGTCAAGCCACCATCACTCGGTGTAGCCAGCCCATGGTAGGAGTAAGTGGAAAGCGAAGCAAAGAAGATGAAAAATACCTTCAAGCTATCATGGACTCCAATGCCCAGTCTCATAAAATCTTTATATTTGATGCCCGGCCAAGTGTCAATGCTGTTGCCAATAAGGTGAGATTGTCTTTCAGTAATTAAGATTACAATTAGAGTTTCATGAATTGGCTGGGTTGGTGGGAGCCACCATGTGTAGTAGAAAGATTTCAGGCTCTCCAGTGACAAAGATGTAGATTCTAATACTGGCTCTCCTACTTGATGGTATGACTTTGAGTTAGTTATGTAATCTCTTTTTATTAAAGATTTATTTATTTATTTTAGAGAGCGAGAGCGAGCAGGGGGAGGGACAGAGAATCTCAAGCAGACTCCCCACTGAGAGCGGAGCCTGACATGGGGCTCCATCTCACGACCCTGAGATCATGACCTGAGCCAAAATCAATAGTCAGATGCTTAACCAACTGAGCCACCCAGGTGCCCCTAGTTAGTTACTTAATCTTTTAATTTTTTATTTGTTCACTTTTTGTTGAAGTACAATTGAGATAAAACATTATGTTAGTTACAGGTTTACAGCATATTTCAGTATTTGTATAGATTGTGAAATGATCACGTTAAGTCTGTTTACCATCTGTTACCATACAAATTTACAACATATTCTCCTTATAATGAAAACTTTTAAGATTTACCGTCTTAGCAGCTTTCAAATTCACAATAACAATATTATTGACTATAGTCCCCATGTAGTATGTTGCATTCTCATGACATTCATTTTATAACTGGAAATTTGTGCCTCCTTATCTCCATCGATTTTGTTCCCTGACAAACCCTCCACCCTGCAACCACCATTCTGTTCTCTGTGTCTATGAGTCTTGTTTGTTCATTTGTTTTGTTTTTTAGATTCCATATCTAAGTGAAATAACTCAGTATTTGTCTTTGACTTATTTCATTTAACATCATACTCTTCAGGTCCATTTATACTGTCATAAATGGCAAGATTTCATTTCTTTTTATGGCTAAGTAGTATTTCATTGTGTATACACACACACACACACACACACACACATCTTCTTTATATGTTCATCCACTGATGGACATGTAGGTTCTTTCCATATCTTGGCTGTTGTAAACAATGCTGCAGTGAACATAGAGTGCACAGATCTTTTTGGATTAGTGTTACTGTTTTCTTTCAATAAATACCCAGTGGTTCTATTTCTGAGTTTTTGAGGAGCCTTCGTACTGTTTTCCATCATGTTTATTTTTTTGATAATAGCCGTTTTGACAGGTATGAGGTTATATCTCATTGTGGTTATAATTTGCATTTCCTGATGCTTAGTGATTTTAAGCATCTTTTCATGTGCCTGTTGGCCATCTGTGTCTTCTTTGGAAAAATGTCTATTCAAATCCTCTGCCTATTTTTTGAAAAATAAAATTTATTCTTAATTTTGTCAATGTGTTATATCATGTTGATTGTTCTGTAGATGTTGAACCACCCTTACATCCGTGGAATCCTACTTGATCACGGTGTATGCTCCTTTTAATGTATTGTTGAATTTGGTAATATTCTTTTGAGGATTTTCACATCTATGTTCATTAGGGAGGGATATTAGCTTGTAATTTTTTGGGGGGGGTCATCTGTTTTTGGTGTCAGGGTAATGCTGGTCTCATAAAATGAGTTTGGTATTGTTCCTGCCTCTTCAGTTTTGTAGGTGTTTGGAAAGGATAGGTATTAAATCTTCTTTGAATATTTGGTAGAATTCACTGGTGAAGCTGTCTGGTCCTGGACTTTTGTCCTGACACAATTTCCTTGCTAGTGGTCCATCTATCCAGATTTTCTGTTTTCTTCCTGATTCAGTCTTGGAAGATTCTATGCTTCTAGGAATTTATCCATTTTTTCCCCTAGGTTGTCCAGTTTATTACTGTGAACCATATAATAGTTCAGAGTAGTCTCTTATGATCCTTTGTATTTCTTTGGTATCAGTTGGGACTTACCCTCTTTTACTTCTGATTATTTATTTGAGCCCTCCCTCTTTTTTTTCTTAGTGTGTCTAACTAAAGGTTTATTGATTTTATTAATCTGGCTAGTTTCATTGATCTTTTCTATTATGTTTTTAGTCTCTGTTTCATTTATTTCCACTCTGATCTTTATTATTTTCCTCTTTCTACTAATTTTGGGCTTACTTTATTTAGGTGTAGAGTTAGATAGTTTACTTACTATTTTCTTGTTTCTTCAGGTAGGCCTGCATTGCTAGAAATTTGCCTTTTAAGATTGTTTTTGCTGTGCCCTATAGATTATGGTGTGTTACATTTCCATTTCATTTGTCTCAAGGTATTTTATATTTCTTCTTTGATTTCTGTTGACCCATTGGTTGTTCAGTACCATGTTTTTGCTTTGTGATTACCATGAGGCTCATATATTACTGCCTTTATATGTAACAATCAATGTTAAGATGATAGCGGGTTAAGCTTGAATGTATTTTAAAACTCTACACTTTTACTCCCCCTGACACATTTTATGTTTTTGATGTCAGATTTACAACTTTTTATTTTGTGTACCTTTAACTGTTTATTGTGGTTATAGTTATTTTCACTATTTTTTTAACCTTCGTACTAACTTTATAAGTTATTAATGCACTATGTTTACTGTAGATTTGTCTTTACAAGTGAAATTTTTACTTTCATTTTTTTTTTTATTAATTAGTGCCCTTTCTTTTCTGCTTAAAGAAGTCCCTTTAACATTTTTTGTTAAGTCTGATACACTCTTTTAGCTTTTGTTTGTCTGGAAAGCTCTTAATCTCTTCTTCAATTCTGAATGATAACCTTGCCAGAAAGAATATTCTTGGTAGGAAGGTTTTCCTTTCAGTACTTTGAATATATATCATGCCACTCTTTTCTGGCCTACACAGTTTCTGCTAAAAATACTGCTGATTGTCTTATAGAGGTTTCTTTGTATGTAACAAGTTGTTTTTCTCCTGCTGTTTTTAAGATTCTCTCCTATCCTTAACTTTTGACATTTGAATTATAATGTGACTTGGTATGGCTCTTTTTGGGTTTATCTTATTTGCAACTCTCTGGACTGAAATGTCTCTTTCTTTCTCTAGGGAAAGTTTTAGCCATTATTTCTTCAAATAAGTTTTCTGCCCCTTTCTCTTGCTCTTCTCCTGGCACCCCTATAATGCAAGTGTCATTTCAGTTTACGTTGACCCATAGGTCCCTTCAGCTCTGTTCACTTTTTAAAAATTCTTTTTCGTTTTTACAAAAATTCTTTTTGGATGAGTTCCACTACCCTGTCTTCCAGCTCACTGATTCTGTCTTCTGTTTCATCTGGTCTGCTGTTGAACCCCTCTTGCATTTTTCAGTTTAATTATTCAGTTCTGTGACTTCTGTTTGGTACTTTCTAAAATTTTCTATATCTTTGTTGAAGTTCTTACTGTGTTCGTCCATTCTTCAAGTTTGGTGAGCACCTTTAATGGCTATTACTTTGAATTCTTTATCAGGTAAATTATCTCCATTTCATTAAGGTTTTTTCCTGGTGTTTTAGTTTGTTTTTTCATGTGGAACATATTTTTCTTTCTCCAAGTGTTTCAGACCCATAGGGCCCAGAAACAATCCCCATGGCCACTCAGTGGGTGTCTTCTATGTGGGCTACACGTGCACCAGCTGGCTTTGATGTGGCCAAAGTGAAGTGGCATGTGGGGATGGTTTATTTAATTTTTTTAGACCTTAATTTGCTCATTTGTAAAATGAGAATAATAATAGCTAACGGGGTTGTCTTGGGGGCAAAACTCATCTAGTAAAAAGTAGTGCATAACTCTGTGCTCCTGTGCATAATAAATAACTCTTCAGCAATTAACTGGTTTCCTTCTCCCTTCTCCAAACTTGACAACTAACTGAGCATATGCCTGACTAAACTCTGTCCTGCATGGCTGTAGGAATTGGCAAGCAGGGTTCTCAGTGGCCAGCGGTGCCCTCTTCTCCCTGCCCTTCCCCGATCACGTCATTCACACTGCATACTTGCACTTAGCTGGAGCAGTTGCCCTGGTTTCTGCCATAGAACAGATATTTACGTTGTGGAAATAGAAATTTTTGTCCGGTTGACAAAATCTGCCATAGGCGAAGGAGAGAGAAGGGATATAAATGAACTTTAGTAAGTTACCTTTTTAACCCCCAAGAAGCAGTGTATCTGTATTATAGAATCAGCTAATGCAGATAAGCAAAAAGAAGAACATATTTTAAAACACTCTAAATTCTGTAACACCATTAAAGTTTGGTTGTACTTCCAGACCTATGAATATATGCATGCACACATGTATTTGAAACAGTGGGATGATTGTAACTTCTTTTTTAAAACACTCACACTGTATCTTTCTGTGCCAATAAACATTTATCTCTAAACATTATTTTAATGGTACAAGAACTAATAATATCAACTGTTATTGGATATTTAGTTTATTTCTGGGTTTTTTGCTTTTATAAATGATGGTGGGATGATCATCCTTTTAATTAAATTATGGTGCCTGTGCCTAATTATTTCCATCCTATTTAGTGTTTTGAGGGCATTGTGAGTTGCAGGCATTCTCTATTAAACTGTAAATGTTTCCCTAAAGGAGAAATGAGATAATGTGTACGTGAAGCTTGCAGCACAGGGACTAGCATGTATTTTTCCAGTAATTACTTGTTTCCCTTCCAAAACTCTACTCCGAATTAGCAGGAGAGAGACTTAGTATGTTTTCTAGCATGAGAGGAGAAGGAAAGAGAAATGTAATGCAGAAAAGGTGGTAAGGCAAAGTTATATTCCCTGTCTTATTTTTTTAAAGCATTCTGATACATATGTCAGTATGGAAATCCCCTCTTTTTTTTAACAACTGATATATTTTATTTATTGGTACATTTTCCTGGTTACAAGATATGTACTAGATAGTATAGAAAAACTCGGCAGGCATAGATAAAGAAAGGAAATTAAAATCACCCATATCCACTGATATTTTGCTGTATTTTCCCCCATTATTTTTTTGGTACACTTATATGTTGATTATTTTGTTTCTTTGTTTTTCCTCTTAATACTATAGGAATTATTTCTTCTAATTACAATATTCTTGAAAAACACTTTAATAGTACTTATT